CACACCCTGCGGCGTTCAAGCAAAGGGGGAGGAAAGGTTTGCGGGTGCGTGACATGTTGACAAGTCAAAATCAGGATGGCGTGGAAGACCGCTCGCCCGTGCGAAAAGACCGTCTCCCTCCCCTCAGCGACTGTACGCAAAAAAAGGCAGTGTCCTCTATGACTCAACTAATTGGCAAGTCTATTCAAATAAAAGGATAAAAATAGGATAAAAAAGGATAATAGGATAAACTTACCACAATTGGTCCCTTGCTATTCTTGATCGCTGCCTTGCCGGTTTCGCATACGATCTCTGTCGCTGGTTGGTATTCGGCTGGTATCACAACGCACTGGACATTCGCTACAATCACCGCACCCGACACATCTTGATATCGTCGTCCCAAGTTGGTACCCGTGATTCGCAACTGAATGTGGGGACTTACAAGGTATGCACTTTTGGTCAAAAAACCATTTGATGTGAAATGTATGTTGCTGACGTCAGTGACAAATGCTGATTCCAAAACTGTTATCCTTATCTGCGGAACGCTTATTCTCAGCGATAACAGGCTGAACTATGTTGAACTCACGGTTACGTGAGTTCTGCAAAACGTACTACCAAATGGCACAATGTGAGTGTACTCGCTTATTTGCACAGGGTCGCAAGTTTGAATACTTTCACAGCCAACGTTTTGCGTCTTGTTTGTAGCTTGAGTTTCAGAAGAGCGTTCCGCGAGAATGACATTCGGTCCTATGCTCAGCCATGTACATCTCAATACAGATGGCCACCCCAACTGACAACTTTCTCTTTAGAAGAGCGGTAATTCCAACCTTTGTTTTTCCACCGACAGGTCCCTTTTTAGGACTGAAGTCTTCAATAGCTGGATTTGCACACAGCTGCGTGCTATTTAGCCAATCTTGTGGTGATCTTGCCAAGCATGCCATTGGTCTGACACATCTGTTGTCTATAGCACACCAGCCACATTCGTACTTTTCGGCATCCAACGTAAGACATCGGCCACAATTCGATGCAAGAGCTTCGCACTTATACACCTAGAAGAACCACAAATCACGACACCTACCACTGAAAAAATTTCCGATTAACCTCCACGGCCACTCCACCAATATTATCCAAAGTGTGTTTTCTGGAAGAATCGCTCGAGGACCACACTACATTGAATTCGACCGGAGCTGTTCCTCCCGATACACCAAGCCCATAGTGGTCGAACTGCATCTCATCACATCTGACACAGACAGATTCAAATACAAAATCAAAACAACTGCAAGCTGCTTACATCACATTATCGTCGAATGTCTTCACAGCAGGTTTTTCATGTTCAACGTTTCCTACTTTGAAGTGACATCGAAAATCCGTCATGAAGATCGGATCGAGGTTTTGGACCTGACAAATCGGGGCTCAAAAATGAGCACATCGTAGATTATAAATAAACCCACCTTCACAGTGATATTCCTCCTTTCCCCTGCAGCCACGTAAAGTTTGGTTTGCGGTGCGACGATATGTGGACATTTCTGTGGACCTTTTCTTCTAGAGTGACCCTCACGCTAGAATGCAATATTACAGGCTTAACT